CAAAAGAGAAAAAGTAGATCATCAGTTGAGAGCAGATTGAATTTGAAGATACAAGCCATTAATTACTGCTACATTAACGTAAGTCAATAAATCTTTAATAGAAATTTCCATCACAAAGTATGAAGACTGTCAATCATGAACAATAGGCCCTTATAAAGCTGAGGTATGTTGCTTGGGGGGTGTGGCCCCTCAGGTGCGCTGCGGAGGTAATACACTCCTCAGGTAACACTGGGTGACTCATTCTCACACACACCTTAAACAGCGCACATGGCGCTGTTACACCTTAACTCTTCAACTTAGCCCGACAACAAACTGTGGGAATAAACTGAATGAGCACCGCATGCAGCGAAAACAGGAACTTTTCGAAAAGCAGATTACTTCTGAAGAACTGTTGGACTTGGACTCAAAGACAGTGAGTTGTGTGAAACAGATGTGATTTCTCTTGAAGTATTGTTTGTTTCCACCGTAAATAATTAAATTGTTTACTTTGTCAGGTTGTGGAAGTAACAGTGCTGCACAGACTTGGCAGAGAGCTCACTTGATACTCATCTCTTTTTTTCTTTTGAGCCGTCCATGACGATGCCGGTGGTCAAAGTGGAGAAAGACACTGCAGCAGACACTTTGTCTGACTTCAACCCTCCACCACAGACAGAGGAGCAGCCCAGAGGTCGGAAGAGAAAGAGACCTCTCCAGCGAGGGAAACCCCCTTACAGCTACATCGCTCTCATTTCCATGGCCATAGCAAACTCCCCGGATCGAAAACTGACCCTGGGGGGCATCTACAAATTCATCACTGAGCGTTTCCCCTTTTACAGAGAAAATTCAAAGAAATGGCAGAACTCCATCCGCCACAACTTGACACTCAATGATTGTTTTATCAAGATCCCACGGGAGCCAGGGAGGCCAGGAAAGGGCAACTACTGGGCTTTAGATCCAAACGCAGAGGACATGTTCGAGAGCGGCAGCTTCCTGAGGCGGCGAAAGAGGTTTAAGCGCTGTGACTTGACCACCTACACTTCATTTATGCAGGAGACACCAGTTTTCTCTCCTGTCCAAATTGCCAGGTCAGCTGCATATAGCAGCTCAGTCTACTCCAACATGACCGTCAGTCCGACCTATGGGCAGCAGCTACCATCTGCCTACTACCCCTCCTCATCACCTCCTGGTTTCGGACCAGGCCAGACCCGCATGTTCAGCATCAATAACCTCATGGGACACCCGACTCCAGTGAGCATTCTGGGAGGTCAAGGGGCAGAGGGGATGCAGCAGCCCAGTCGGAGCTTCAGTCCTGAGGGGCTTCCGAACGGATCCAGTCCCTGCAGCCTGGGAGCCCCAGCCTTCCAGAGCCAAGCATGCGGAGGACCCGGGCCGCCCCGCTCCTCTACACATCCCGGGTTCACGTACTCTGGGCCAAGCATCCACCCACACCACCATGGACACCAAGGCTCATATGTACAGGGCCATTCCCAGGGCTATGCAGCAACAGGACGTCTCCATGCCTCAGCCCACGGACCTTCAGAGTCCATGGAGCATTACGGGAGGATCTCCCCGGTGCAGCTGGGTTCCTTCTCCCAGTATAACAGTGCTGCAGGTCCCATCGGCAACAGCGGGGCTTACCTGAGACACCCCACATACCCAGGGAATATAGACAGGTTTGTGTCTGCTATCTGAGATCATGAGAACGTAGATTCCAGCATCTCACTACCTTCTTCTCAGAGACTAGAGACAGCAGCAAGTGAGCCAGACATTTCTGCACACAAACAGGAATGTTTTTTCTTTGTTTATGACATTTTTTAATAGACTAAAGTGGTCAGACTGAATACAGACACTGCTCCTGACACAGCTGTGATTCATACCATTAAAGCTACAATCCATGTTTCAGTACTGAGGGGAATTTACTTAAAGGTCAAGCTTCAAATCTGGTTTTAAAATGTCACGGGTTCTTCGCAGCATGTGAGAATGTAACATTCGTCTAATTTCATGTGAGGTTGCGAGCTTCTTTTTTGTTGCCATGACTTGAATGTGCAAGTTAAAAATATTTACATTATTAAGTTTAAATGGCAGTCATTGAAATGTTTCTATAAATTATTGTTTTGTGGTCATAGGCTTTGCATTAAGTGGCTTTAATGAAGCTTTAGTATTTTTGCATGTATTTTGTTGCCAATGAAAATGCATATCAAGTCATCTTTTTGGAAATAAACAATCTTATTGAACTGAAGAATGACATTTTTTTTAAATTGTATCAATGATATTACAATTATCAGATTATCTTTTTTTATTGTATTATTTCTAGAGAAAAATATGATTTGCCGTCAAGTTAAATCAGTTTAGCACACATCAGTATCATCAGATGTATTTGTAAACGTAACTATGTTGCAACAAATCCAGACGAAACACCAGCAGGAAGGACAAATGCACTCCGACATTTCTTTTGTGTTGACTTTGCTTTCTTCGCTGTTTCAGCTCAGCTGGTTTGAAGTGTTGTCTGGAGCCACAGTAGTAGCAGGAACCATGACCAGCCTCAATTATCAAGTCCAGACATCTGCACAGCACTTAGAAACGCAGTTAATCTACCACATGGATCCACAAAGTCAAGAAAATTAATTGACTTGTAACTCAATATTTCAGCCAATAAAATTAAGTAGTGCAAGTTCTTAGCCGGACTCTTCCGGAGTCTGCGACTCAGACAAGATGAGACTTGTACGGAAATACTTCGTAATATTTTATTTTCTATCAGAAAATAAGCTTTGCTGACAGATATGAGTCGGTGTTTAACAAAGGGTCGATCTTTCCATCGGTGTGGATTAAATGAAGATAACTGGAATCCGTAATAACTGTGTTATTAAACTATTTCAAATGGGCGGCCTTCTCTCCAGATAAGAGCGATATGGTTAATAAGGCAGAACGATTTGTTCGATAACAGCTTTGGTTGTGGCCTTATCAACAGAAAGATTAAGGTTTAAGGTTATGGTTGATCTCTTCACACGCTGCACTTATTTAATATTCTGCAATATTGAAAACAAAGAGCTCAGAGATTCAAATAATCTCAGGTGTAGACCACAGACCTTAATTGTCTCAGCAGCAGCAGAAGGTTAGATGTACAAGTTACATTGTGCTGCAGCTTGAGAAAAAGAACAGATGCTTTTTGTGCATCTCATCATAGATGCGTTCAAATCTCATCTACATCAGAATGCAATTTAAGATTCTACCAACTTTACAAAATGAAGAAAAAAACACCCCCTGAAGAAAATAAACAGTTTTCATTTTAGGGAACTCTCTGCACAGAATTATTGTTGTGGTTTACCTCAACAACAATGTTTTCGTCTTCATTAGTTAGCTCGTTAGCAGGATTACGCAAAAACTATTCTCACCTCTATGAAATTTTTATGGAGGAGTGGAGTATGACCCAAAGAAGAGCCCATTACATTTGGATTTAAAATGAATCAAAACCTTAAGTACATTTATTTTATAACTATTACCTGGCAGAGAAATCCTGACTGCAGAGAAAAAACTTTGCAAAGATTAGTTTTATTTTCCATCTAGCTTGGTGCAGCACATATGTAGTTATTCTGCATGTTGTATTCAAATCTAAAAGTGGCCATGACTGCTGCTATTACTCTTAACATGAATGTTAAATGTCTGAATGTTTGCTGGCACAAAATTAGCCCCTACCATTTTAAATTGTACATTCTTCTTTCAAGTACAAAGGAACAAAGACAATTCATAAGATTCTAAAAATTTTAATCACTAAAAATATGAACACTTACAGACAGAAAAGGCTTAAACATAAACAGAGATAAATACAAATAAACAGAAGTGACAGTGACAAACACATCAGCCAATGTATTCAACAAGCTGCTTGAGTTGTTCACAATTCTTCACAACCTCTGGTAAAGTCAGCAGCGTCTGTGTGGGGAAGATACAAACATCCATTACATCAAATAGCCACAGCACACACACTTGACCTGATGGCAAAAGTGAATTAAACAGCATTTCTCACCTCTCTGACTTTATTGATCATTTTGTTTAGCATCTGAAGCTCATTCTCACTTTTCTGCTGGTTGTTCTGATGGATCATTTGCTGTGAAAGAAAAGAAAAAAACTGGGTCAAATCCTCACAAGACAGCGCCAAAATACTGGCATGAAAACAATCTCATGTCGTCTCACGACAACTGAGACGGGTGCTGGCACATATTCAGGAATATAATTGCTACTGTATGTAATCAGCACTTACATGTCTCTTTGCTCTTTCAAGTAGTTTCACTCTTGCCTGCTCCACCTCCTGAAGACTCAACTTCAGTCTCTCCACCTGAGCATCAAACCAAACAGATAAACATTAGACAAAAGGAGTGTCAAACCTACAGAGTTTCATCAGCAAGGACTTTGACATATAGAATGATGCCTTTCTAATGAATGAATGCACACAGTGCCGTTTCTGGCTGATGCTATAAAGGGGAATGCACCTCTTTCAATAACTGGATCTTCTCTTCCATGAAGTGCGCTGGGTTCGCTGACACCCCGCCAGCTTTTCTCAACTCCTCACGCAGGAATTGAGACTCTACCTTCGACTGCTGGAGAGAGCGACGGAGGTCAGCCACCTCCTTCCTCAATTCCTGTGAAGATTTGTCAAAAAAAATAAATAAATAACTGTCTCTGTAATTTTCACAGATTACTTGGCAATGAATTATTCCTGAGTGCCTTACATTATTGTCAGTCTTGTGTTTATTTAGAATTTCCTGGACATCTTGTATTTCTGCCGACAACGTTGTCAAAGTTTTGTCATCCTGTGTACAGAGAAACATGTTTTTTATTTCAATACTTTTATCAGCTCAACAGGATCATTCCCAGTAACCATCTGCCATTTTTTGCCGTCTTGATCTTCATCACACATAAAGGTGACAATGGCAAAATGCACAGTTCTTCTTACCTGAGCTTTCTGCTGTAACGCCTGATTGCCTCTGTCAACCAGGATGTTTAATCGACTGAGTTGATGCTGGAGCTCAAACACTTGAGCCTTGTGTTTGCTGTTTGCAGCCTGCTGCTCCTCCTGCAGGCCATAGCTGGTAAAATACAGTAAAACATATTGGATTTGAGATTCAAAAAAAAGCTCCTGTTTAAACCCTAAATACACAATGACACTACTTCATCAAATATGAAATCAAACTTGGCAATTCCATTGATTACATTGAAATGAGCTTCAGGGAATATAAATCCTGAAAACAGTTTTGATCACATTCTCAGTCAGATTGGTTCCATCAATACCAAACAAGTGGTGTCAAACCACGCTGACTGAATAAAGAACAGACTTTTCCATCTAATCAGTTGGTGTTGCCAAATTGTCTTTCACATTCGGTTTTCCAATCAGTTCAATCAAGAAGAATCAGTGGGTTAATTGTTAGAAAGTGAATGTTAGTCGCAGCCCCCGAGCTAAGTGGTCTAGTCCTAAAAGGATTGGTTAAATCAAAAAATCAATGGAAATAGACGGAGGTTAATTTTCTGGAAATGAAATCGTTAATCAAGCAAAAAATGCCAAACATTCAATGTTTCCAGTCTCAAATGTGAGAATTTATTTAGCTTCTCTCTGTTTGTTTCACTGAAATTAAGAAAAAAATACTAAAACAAACAACCTCGGACTGTGGAAACTAGTGTTTGACATTTCTTCCCTGCATTTCTAATCATTTCATTGACAGTGCAGTACATTGATTTACTCAAAATATTATCAACAAATGAAAAGATGGTGTTAATAGTAAAAAGGTTTTTTTTAGGAGAGGACTCCTATTTGAAACATTACCTTTTCATTACCTCATAAAGATTTTACAGCACTTACATGGTGTTGTGCAGCTCCTCCAGCTCAGCATCTTTTCGCTCCTGTACCAGTTTCAAGGCGCTGATGAGCTCCGTGACGGTGCTGCCCAGGTCGGCCAGCAGTTCCACCACGCTGTTCTGATCGTCCTCCTCTGGTTCAAACTCTACTCCTGCCTTTAAACTCTTTTTAGGGGTGAAGGCTGCAATGCGGGTGAAGGCGCTCTTCTCGCTGAACAAAGTTTCACACTGTGGCTCAGGCACATCTGAGGGGACTGAAGACAGTGAACTACTTAGACTTTCTGATGGCCTTTCTGAACTGGGTTTTACTGAGTAATACATTTATAGGCACGCGCAATTTTTTTATTTCACTCAGCTAATTAAAATAACTGACTTTTTATCAAACAGTTGGAAATCTTAACTCTAGATTTCACTGGAACAGGAACACAGTAATTGGGTTTTTCTTTCTTGGGAAATGTGGAAATTATAACAAAAATAGTAAAGTACTGAGGAAAGCAATGATCATTTCAGGATTAGAGCACATTGTCTTACTTATTGAAAGCAGGAACATTTGGAGTAATTCTGTGAAAAAAGACTTGTAATCATCCTTATCCAGAGAAGTATACCTCCCTTCCATAATGGCACATTTCTGATATATATGACATGGGTCTGCTGAATATGCATTTAACTCATGTTTGAGCTATTTCAACAACAAAGCTGTTGTAACCTTCACTGTTCAATTCATTTGTTTGAAAGAGTAAAAATTAAATGTGATCATTTTAAATTGAAGCTTAGATCTCTTCCCCAACATAAACACATGTTTAAAACTCTACAAGTGTCTGATCTGACTATGACCCAGGTTGGAGGATCATGGAGCAAGGTTAAATGATGCCCCTCAACCCGTCCAGACAGACCACTAGCATCAGTGTTGGTTTTCAAAGCTGCTAGTTTTGTTCAAGGTAAAATATAAAAACAAAACTATCTGCTTTTATGAGAAATAAAATGTCATTGTCATCTCTTAAACCAGCCTTAATAGCTAGAGCCGTTACACTTTGGAAAAAGTGTCACTTAAACATGGGGCGAGCTACAGTACCTGCTTCAGGAGGCGTCTCTGATTTAACATCTTCCTCCTTCTCAGTCGT